ACCAGAAGGGCAAGTAGTGGGGAATGGCTGGGGGTGCCGACAACACAGCAGACAGTAGCAGGGATATCAGAGTATAAGTGCCCTAGTTGGGGGGAGGGAGGCTATGGGAGGATGTCATCTGGGAAGTGGGTGTATAGTTGAAATAAGATGGTTTGGGATGTTCTGTGTGATATATTCACACACACACACACACACACACACACACACACAAAAAAAACACTAAGATTTTATGTGTATCATTTTCTTGCTGTTTAAAATTTTTTCCGTGCCAGCATTTTACATCTTCTAAGAATTAGAAACCAAACCGAACACTTGTACAAACTAACTCTTGCCTTTTCTTGCTATTTTGTAGGCTCTTCTCCAGCATGTATCAGATCAAGTCAGATTTAATTATTAATGCACTTAATGTGCTTAATTTAAGAATACTGCAGATGTCTGGATAATCTTGCACATTACAACTTAAAAAATTTATTCTGCTTGACTTAAGGAATCAGCAAATGCTTCTATATTCTTTTATTCTAGACTTTATAAGCCACATTAATTCTAAAGCAGTGAGCTTGTTAAGAACTCTCTCTAAAAGAGCTTTTCAGCCACTTTGGGTAATGTCTTTTCAAGTTTTAAAAAATTTAGGTTTAAGTCATTTAAATACAACTTTCTGGGCTCTGCACACTGCTAGTGTGACCTAATTTCGATAACAAATTTACATTACAGTCCATGTGGTTGTGTGATTGGTTTCTGGCTTTTCCCAGGGGATTTTAGCACATTTGGAAAGCCACAGGTTAGTATGTTGCTTTTTCAGAACGCGTAATGTTTATGCAAACTTCTTATTAACCTGGGCTTAAGTCATTAACACTAATTATGTTCTGGTTGTGGGAAACAGAGCCTGCGACTCAGACTACTGTAAAGAAAAGGGTTTGGTTTTATGTTACATAAAAAGGGATGCACTTCTGCTGAAAATGATGGTAACCTGTGATCTGCGCTGCGTGCCCTTGTCTTTTGGGGAGTCTTTGTATCTGCTTTATTCTCTCCTTTTCTTCCCTTTTCTGTTTCCTTCTCCTCTACATCCTTTACCGTAAATGGGCTCCACTTTCTGAGAGCTTTGGCCTGCAGCGCCCCTCTGTGGCCTCAGTTCTGCTACCCGGCTCCTTTTATAGGCCCTTGCCCTGTCCACATCTGCTGCTAATTGCCTCGTATATCATTGACTGGCTTCGGGTTGCTTAGAGATCATTTGACTCGTCCGACTTGTCTTTTCACACCTGGCCCACAGCCTGGCTGCTGTTGGGGTAAATGCCCACTGTTGGTTGCATACACGAAAAGATGATTGTCAAGGCCTCTCATCCACCCATCCTGCCCAGCCATGATCTGTGGTTATGTTAGAAAGGATGTGCCACAGGCTTACTCCTTGATATTTTCTTGGTTTGCCTTTATCTCTATCATAATTATCATTAGTCATTTTCTTCTTTGCATAAAGTGTGCAAAAATATATAACTTGGATAGATATATAATTGGTCCATGGATCGCTGAAAGATTTACATTTAAACATTTTAAGCTCTGAAATATTGAAATACCTTTTATAATGGTAAACTGGTACTTTATTTCCCTGTAATTGGTTCATGTTAGCAATAGGTCTCTTCTTTTTAACCCCCAATTTAAGATTTCTATCTTTGGTCTCATGTAATTGGAGAGTAGTGTGGGTTGGGGAAGGGCACGAGACTCTAAGTCTGACATGACTGGTATATCCCATATTACTATATTTCATATATCATAATATGACATAGACTGTCTCATAAATACTATGAATTTGGACAGTAATACCTCTCTGAACAAAGGGAAAGTACTATGTACAGGAAAATGAAGGTTCTTAGTTCTTTGAACCAACCTAAATGACTTTACAGAGTAATAGAACAAAGTAAGCTTTAGACCACTTTTGGAGCTTGTGTTATTCTTCTAAAACTTAATTCGATTGGAAAAGGAGAGGGAGCTAGAGATGTAGCTGCTGTCTGCAAGGCTCTCAGTCCCATCCCCAGCACCCTGAGCTCTCTGGCCAGATTATTTATTTGATGTGCATGCTATGCTGAAAAGGAGTGCCAAGGGAGGTAGCCACGTAGCAAAATAGTAAGTTTTTAAAAATCATAGTATTAGAAAAAAGGGGTTTTTACTTTCTTTAGTACTATTGTACCTTTAATTTAAATAAAGGCCTAAAAGGACATCTGGGAAGTTTTGACACCAGTGGAGACTTTGTCAGCTCATTTTGAAAAGATATAACTGTGAAGGAATATATAGTTTAAAACCCCAAATTCCAGTCTCACAACCAAATTTACACTTAAACATTTAACCGTGAAACAGATGTCTCATTTGATGATGAGGTTCTTACCATTATTTATACCATCAGACAAGTATTTTAATTGGAAATCCTGTGATATCAGATAAATGACTCAATCTGTTACTCCAGTATCTCTTATTCACTAAAACTTGTATGAAAATCTGATTTTCTCAGATACAGCTTGGTTACTCTCAGAGCCTCATAGAGCCAGCACTCAGTATAAACTGGGTTTTGTGGTTGCTTTCTTTGGAAAGGTCTACAACAAATAGCAGTCCCCCAATTTTAGGCATCAGCTGCTGTAGTTTGGAGTATGGGTGAGTTTTTTAAATGCTTCTGAGTAATTGAAGCTGTAGAAATACATAGAAGCGGTGGATGCGGCTCCCTGATGTCTTAGCTTAGGCCCTTTGCCTGTCATGTAGATAGTGGTATCTCAGTTTCCACCAGACAATTTCTGATCCGATAGTGTTTGTTTTAAAACAAATTTTGTACATATATATATATATATA